TCGGCAGGGGTCTCTCGCGCGCGCTCGCTCACTTCTCTCCCTCCTCTCCTCGCCGCTCCTCGCCTCTCCGCCCCTTCCTCCTATCTCTTCCAGGCGCCCTCTCGCTCACTATCACAAGTGTGGAGTTGTGAAGTTCCAACCTCCCTCTCCTGCCTTGTATGCGCCTCTCGCGTGTCCGAGAGTGGCCCTTTCCAGCCCCGAGGGTGACGGTGCTGGGAAGGACGGGGGGGAAGACGAGGAGGAGAAGGGAGGTAAGTAGGGCCGGGGGTGGGGGAAAGGCTGGGATGAGGGGTGAAGACGGTGAATGCGGACGCGGGCTCCGGACTCGGGTCGGACACTAGCTGCCAGCCAATGAGGATGAGACGCGAGCTGCGGTCTCCTCGCCTGCCCCAACCTCTTCACCCGCCTTAACCCCCTCCCACCCCGCTCCGGCCTGGGGCGGGGGATGTGAACGCGGCCGCGTCTTACTGCTAGTGAGAAGCGACCTCTGTCTGAGCGCTGCGGCGGAGCCTGAGAAGCCTGGGCGGCGATTTCCCAGAGCCGAGGGGAAGCGGGGAGAGGGTTGGGGTGTGTGTGTGGGAGGGGGGTGCCCTCGCTTGTATACCGGGTGGGGAGGTGGAGGCGAGTTAAACGTCCATCTGAGCAACCTAAAGGAGGACAAAGACGTTAACCCAGCTGGCGGATCTCAAATGCAGAGTCGTCACTGGCCACGGGTCTCTCAGCTTTATCCCCCCAGGACCCAGCTCGTGGAGAGGCCACGCGTGGGGCCCCCCGCGCCGTGGAGGGGCCAGGGACCCGGCTCACTAAGAGGTGGCTATGTCGCCCAGAGTTCGTTCGTATGCCAGGAATTATAGTAAGGGGCAGCCTCTCGTACTGCTCCCCAGTTCACTTATCAGTGACGCCCGGCTGAAGCCGGTGGAGAGCTTTCCTGGTTTTAGTGAACCGAGTTCCCAGCGTACAAGGCAGAGGTCAGTCTGGGCTTGCCTTTTTCATTCTGGTGTGTCTTCGGGTGGGGCAGATCCCCATGAGGCCCAGCATTAAGAAAGTTTTAAAGAACCATCTGTTATGCAAGTTCTGCCACCAGCCCGGCGACATCTTCAAAGTTTCCAGATCTCTTCCCAACAAGATGAATAACATTCTTTCCAGCCTCCTGGTTGCATGCAAAATGCCTCAGACTCAGGGTCTGCTGTGCAAACCAAGTAATTATCAGAGTCCACCCACAAGGGGGTATATTTGAATCTCAAAAGATCTGAATTATTCTATTTGAATGGCAGAGAGCTCACACATTCTAACTGCCCAGTCCAGTATTTGATGAACTGGCAATTATTCTCATCATTACCGTGTAGGATTCACACTTTTATATGAAATGGTTGTGTATCACCCATTCAACACCTGGCGATACACACGTGGCTTTGCTCTTTGATATATATTCAAATCTATTTACATTTCAGATTTTGTAGCATCCTTAGGCAGCACTGGAAACATCTAAACTTAGGGAGGCCTGTTCACTAGTTTGTCTGGGGAAGTGGGCTCCAGTTGCCAAAATTAGTGACCCTGAAGAAGCTTGGCTTTTCTCAGATAGTATCAAGTAACACTGTCAAAACATGTTCAATATTACTAGGTGTTTTAAGTATCATTGTGAATTAAGAATCTATATTCTTACAAAGTTCAGAAAGGGAGTCTGTCTCAGTGCTTGCCCTGCTCTGCTTGAGTTCAGGTGAACTTTGAAAATCAGTTTATGTCAAAGCCTTAAGAACAACCTCCCATTGCAACTTAAAGAGCTTATGGGGGCAGGTACACAGTGCCTTCCTGAACATCCATCTGGCAAGGATGCAGGACTCCAGCCTTGGCTCTAAGAGGGAGCTTCGAGCCCTCAGTGGGAGGGAAGGGCCTCAGTTTTATGGAGCAGCAGGAGGGTGGGAGGCCTGAAAGAAGTTAATAGAGAGTCAGACAGGACCATGGAATTGCAGTGTGCCAAGAAAGCCTGCCTTGACTGGAGGCTGACCTAGTGACGCCAGCTTTGTGACCACGTTTGTAACACCAGCTTCAGGGCCAGAGGCACAGGCCACAGTAATGACTTCTTTATCAGGGCTAGTCTGCTCTCCCAACCATGTCCCCCAAAGAAGACCAAGACTGGTGGCAAAAGGCCAGCTGGCACTCAGCTATCTCCCTGCGGGAGACTTTCCAAGAAAGAGAAATCTTCCCAGCATGGGAAGGGGTGAGAAGGTGGGATTGGGATGAGATTTTTTAAGTTCCTCCTTTTAAAAATCCACAGTTGCATACAGAGGAAGAGTGCAGGGCTTCTAGCCCTATTTTGAAGGTCATAGTTAGCAGTGATTGGAAGGGCACCGACACATCAACGGAGCAGGAGATCTCAAAGGAGAGAAAACTGCCTTTTCTGAAAACCTCCACACTCCAGGTCTCCAGAGAAGAAAACCTTTCCTAATTCCAGGTCCCCTCTAGGGACTAGAACCTTCACAAGTCCACCTAGGACTTCTCTGGAATTGGCTCCGGTCAGAAACCGGAAGGTTCACCCATTTCCCAGCACTGCTCCCTGGGTGGTTTAGGGGAGCAGCGGGGTCCTCAGACCCTGGAGCAGATGCAGAGGGAGTGACCGCTCTTTACCGCCCTCCAAGTGCACCTTTTCTCTGTCCTGTTCCGGATTCTTGCTGTTCCTTGACCCTTTGATTCAGCTGAGTAGAGGCTCCCACTGATGTCCGGCACTAGCCTGTTCTGTGACCCCCGGATGGGCCCCAGAGGGCCTCTCTCCAAAGGAGAGCTGAGAGAGGAGGAGCCGTGCCCGCGGTGTCTAAGACCGGTCACTTAGGGATGCTCAAGGTCCCAAGGCCGCAGCTTGAGGCTGGAGAGTGGCTACAAGAAGAAAAGCATTCGACGTCGAACGAGGTGGACCAGAGCCTGTGTGGTGTAAGCAGCTGGGGCGGGCGGTGGTCTGAACTGATTCACAGATACACCAACCGCGGGCAGGCATTCATGTCCTACCCTCCACCGGGACATCTTAGTAACTGCCACTCCTCCTCTTAATGGAAACACGCTTCGGAATCCACCCAAGCCTTCCTGCTTCGGGAAGTTTAGCTGGTGGCAAAGAACAGAAGCCGGAACCCTGGGGGCCAGGAGGACAGCTCCAGCTGAAGCTACCAGGAGCGTTCTCACTTTCTTCCTGCACTCCCTCTACCAACTTCGGGCAAACTTCTCTCCTTTCCTCCCACCTCCCCCTCGCCTTCTCCTTCCAGACGAGACTAGTCTCCAGGGTTCGCCCTTCCTGGTTTTGACTTTGTCTTAAAGTGTTGATTGACGGTTGCAATTACAAAGATGATGGCTCCGGGAGGCTCCCGCAGCCTTGATGAACCCGAGAAGCGCAATCCTGGCATATTTTATCCAGGCTTGGCGGGTGGGGCTGTGCGCGCCCCATTCACCCAGCTGGCTGGAGCTGAGGAGGTCTCGCACTGCCCGCCCGCGAGGATGCAACTGCTTGCGCTCCTGTTCGCCTCCACTTCCCTGAGGTTCGCTGCCGCAATTCCGAGTGCTCTCCGGGAACAGCCCGCCCTTGACCTGACCTGAGAAGTGTCTGTCCCGCGCACTTAATCAGTGAGGGCTGCAGAAAGATATAATGTCAAGATGTCCAGGAGTTCAAGTTTCCTGAACTCAGTAAACACAGAGTGGTAGGTACACCTTTCTAGGGAGCCTGGGTAGATGAAGCCTTGTGGGACCCACCCAACTTTCCAGGGAACTAGCAAACCTTTGTTATTGATAGCAATTCCTGACGTCTCCTTCTTCAGCCTTACTTTTTGGTGTTTTTAAGGAACCAAAACACTTTCTTCCTCCCAGCATCTACTTTTCTTTCCACCCCCAGAAGTAACCTATAGATTTTTCTTTCGTAAGACAGTCTACCAAAGGCAAGATAGCCTCGGGTGCAAAAGAAGTGTGTCAGCTGGGGTTTTGCCTAATTATTTCCACCCCTCCCATCCTAAAAGCCCACCGGAAGCTGATTTTGCCTTTCTCCGAAAATTAATTTTAGCAAGGACCTGAGAGTGTCACTTGGCAGAGGGGGCTGGTTTATCCACCCTCCCCGCCCCCTTCACCCCACCCGGAGACTCTCTTACTCTTTGTATTAAGGAGATGGGTTAAATTTCTGTGCAGTTACAGGAATTATCAAGGGGTATCATATTGGTCGAAGCTTTGGAAAAGCAAATGTTGAGTAGGTGAGAAGTCATTAAAAAAAAAAATCCCTTTCTCCTGCAGGCCTAAGTAGCTACTTATGACATCAACAGCCCCCTAGAGCTGGAAGAAAATTTGCAGCTAGTTTTGACATTACCCGTTAGAAGTAGCCCACACATGGTGAGATCGATTCACAAGCCCCGAGGGAGTATCTTAACATATCAAGACCTTTTCTTTACTGGGGAGGAAAATGAAAGCCAAAGCAATTATCTGGGTAATCTGGTTTCCCAGCCCCCTTCCCCAGACAATTTTCCATCCTTGCCCTGAAGGTAAGGAGGGGTTTCGGAGAGTTCGTCCTGGATTATCAGAATCTGATGTTTTTTTTCTTCAATGAAGAACTTTTCAACTTCATTTTCTTTGTGGCTTTGTGGCCCCAACCCAGGGGTCCAGACTGGCCTGCCTTGGTACAGGGATGCCCTTCAGAAGTGAACAGGGAGAAATCCGGTCTTGAGAAGGGAGGGGGGCTGGGGAAATAATCTCAGGTAGGTGGTCCCATCTAATCTATCTCTTCCTCTGTAATTCAAATGGAGATGTGAGCTCCAAACTCACTGAGAGACTCCATCCCCTTGAGCCACCCATGTCCATCCTCGTGACCAGCCAGAAGGAAGATCCTGGTGCCTGCAGGCCACCGAGCGCTTAGGGAAACTAGCTGCACCCTTGCAATTCCATTCCCCATACTTGACACCCATGCCCACCTCCGCTGCCACCTGGACGAGAAACTACATCCTTTGCAGGAGATTATTCTAGGCTTCTGATGAACGGCTGCTTCCGGCCACACTTGCAGTTTCTTGAGGGAGGGGTACCTTCACACTGTGCTTTGGAATTCCTCTGCTCTTGCTGGGTGGATGAACCCACCAGAGGAGCTTCCTCCCTGCTTTAGGGGCTCCTGATTCTTACGACCCAAGAGCAGCGGGCCAGCAGCTAGCAGTTGTGGGTCTCTCTAGCTCAGCAAAGAAAATGAGGGAGAGGGGACGGCTGGAAAGAGGCGTGGTCTACAACGCAATTGTCACCCCCCAGGCGTAGGGTAGAACTAGAGGAAGTGTTAGAGTCGGAGCTGCTCCAGAGATAGCGCATAGTCTTCTCCAACCTCGGGGCAACTTTTGTGACTCAGAGATGGGGCCAACTGCGCCAAAGCTGGGGACAGGTTAATTCGCCTTTTCCCAGTGTTTTTTGCTTGGAAACTGTGAGGCGGTGGATTCCAATTTTCTTTTCAACCCTAGAGAGACCGCGGAGGGGGTGGAGCTTGCGGGGGGCGGGGCAGAGGCTGCAGGTGACCAGACCCTGATCGAGGAATCCAGCGCTTAATAACTAAAGAATGTGAGCGCCAGCGTGGGACTCACATTGCAAGAGGCACAAGTGCTTAAAAACAAAGGTGACTAAACTGTCTTTTGTTCCTATTTACTCTTCCCATAAGAGGACAGTCTGTTTACTTCCTCTATCCAAACGCCGCCGCTCAGTTTGAGTGATTCCCCTGCCTTCATACTCACTGACTCTGTACCAAATAGCTGCTCCAACTTCCTCTCAGTTCCTTCCCACCGTCTGTTGGTGGCCTTGCGAGTTGTCACAGTACACCACACATCCACAGGCTAAACTCCATCCAAACTCCACAGATCCTGTCTAGAAAATCCAAGGGAGATCAAAAGTACCTTCCCACTCCTGCCAGACCTCAACTCTCTCACAAGCCACCTCCACTGAGCCCCAGTGAGCCACCCCCATCTCACTCCTGAATTTTACAGGGTTCCAACTCTACTTCCACTGTAGAATGAAAAGGAAGATAAAGAGCCACTTACAGTTGTCTTCTTTAAGCCTCAACTGTCTTTCAGAAGAAAGTCTGAGTAGACCAACATTATTTAAAATGAAATTCTTTTAAATATCCTAGAACAAGTAGTTACTACCTCAGGGAATGAGCTTGGATTTTCACAATCATATTTTTGGGGTTCTATTGTATTTAAAGCTCACTCTCAAGCTGAGTGGTCCTGGGTAAGTCACCTGACTTTTCTGATTCTCTTTCCCACCCCTAATGGACACATGTGCTTGCTAGAAAGAGAGAGAAACAACACACACACACACACACAGGAAGATGGCCACACTACAATCCCTTCTCTTCCATTCTCCTTTTGAGATTTTGGGTGCAAGCGCCTGATTTGATTTTTAAGCTGCTGGGTCCAGGACTTAAAGCACAAAGTCAGACATGTGGGATCCAACACCTCAACCTCCACACCACCTGCTCTTCCCACCTGCTTCTATGTGTTAAGCAGTAAGATCAGGTTATCAAAATAAACTTCATAGTGAAATGAGACAGTGGCAGCAAAATGGCACGCCATGTGGTTAATAAATATCAACTCTCCTTTCCTTTCTCTTTCCTCCTAACATCACCCTAACTCATCTTTCCATAAGGAAAATAACCAAGAAGTGGGTGGGATCACTAATCATCCTAGGATCAGATTCTTCCAGTGGGAAGTACTCACTTGATTGCAGGGTTGACACAGTCCTCAGGGACAATTAATATTATGCTCAGATAAAACTCATAAAACTACTCTGGGTTATCTGTATTCAAGTTTGTTTTTGTTTGTTTGTTTTATAGTTTTTGCTGCAGGATGCATGCACATGCAGGAGAGACAAAGAAAGTAGGGAAGTAGGAAACCACTCCCCCAAAGAGGATGTCCATGCCTCTATCCCCCCTCCCTAGTTCCCCCCTTGGATTTTGAGTGTAAATGCACCTTTGTCCCCCATGTTTCTCAAGCTGCCAGGTCCAGGACTTGCACTACACAGTCGGCCATGGGGAATCCAGCCTCCCTAACCACCACACCACTGGCTAGCCCCTGTATTCAGGTTATCTGAAGTTTAAAAATTAAATATATCATTTCTTACTTACTAATCACATAACAAACACACAACAGGACTTTCCAAAAGACTAAAACAGGCAGCCTGTATCGATTTCTCTGGTCAATTTCAGTCCACTTGGTTTTCCCAGGCTTAATCTCTCAAACTCAACCAATCATTTCAACTCTTCCCCATGGCCTATTCAGAGCACAATGCCCCCTAAACTCCTGAAATCTTTGAAGTCAGATGGAGTTCTTAGAGAAATTTTTGTTCCAGGAAGGTTAAGGCTGAATAAATGCAACACAAAAAAGTAGCTCTATCCTAAGGTCAGTTCCGGACCTGGGAAGTGAAGGTGTCTGACTTTGGTCTTGCCTGGAGCATCATGGGATGTTGTTGCAGAGAGGCTGAGCTTTTGCATACAAGTCTTTCCCAGAACTATTCCCTAGCACAGCTCAAGTTTAAGGCTAAATTCAAGATAACCCTAGCCATGCATCTGGTGGAGGGGTTGAGTAAAAGTAAACGATTTTGCATTACCAAGCCTCTGTTCTCTCTTCATGCTCCAAGTCTTTCTTGTTTTTCTGTTTTATGGTTTTTTTTTTTTTTGAGATTTTTTTGCTATAGGGCTCATGTGCTCTCTGGAAAGACAGAGACAGAGGGACAGAAAGAGAAAAATCACCCTCCTGTGGGGATGGACACATTGTAATCCTTCTTCTCTAGTCTCCTCTTGGGATTTTGGACATACACGCACATGTTCCTGGCATGAGTTTTAAACCACCTGGCCCAGGTCTTGAACCATGTTTGACTACATGGTTGTCCAGCAACGTAACCATTAGACCACCTCCTGATCCTCTTTCTTGGCTTATTAAAAGAGCTGTTACAGAGGCCAGCAGGTGGTATAGTGGTTAATATGCTGGACTCCCATGTGACTAACTACAGTCTGAGTCCTGACCCAGTGGCTTAAAACTCAGGCTGGGTGCGTGCACCTAAAATAGTAAGAGGAGAATGAAGGAGAAGGGATTGCAGCATGGCCATCCCCTTTGAGAGATGATTTCTTGTTTTCTGTCTTTCTATCTCTCTAGTGAGGACACACACTTTATAACAAACAAACAAAAATCTCTCTCAAAAAAGAAAAAAGATGAGTTACAGAAATCCTTTAATTCTGGACACAACTTGTGGATCCAGGCCAGTAAGAAGGAATTTGGGAAGCATTGTTTTGGAGACTGGGACAGAGGAGAAGAGGTGGCTCCAGAGTTTGGCTTCCTAGAAGATATTGGTAGCCTATGGGCCAAATACAAAAATCAGAATTTGGGCTTGAATGACTGGCATTCTAAACTGCTTTACAAATAAAGCTGGCTGGACCAGCAGTTGGCATAATGGCTATGTTGCTGGACTCCTATGTGGACGACCGTGGTTTGAGTCCCGGACCCAGTGGCTTAAACTCTCACCGGGCGCGTGTGCGTGCGTGCCCAATATCCCAAGAGGAATACAGAGCAGAAGGGATTGCAACGTGGCCATCCCCCCTGGGGGATGATTTCTCTCTTCCTGTCTCTCTGTCTCTCTCTGTCTTTCTGCCAAACAATATGCCCTATAGGGGGGAAAAAAAAAACCTCTCCAAAATAAATTAGTAATCTCCAAAATAAATAAATAAAATAAATAAATAAATAAATAAGTGCTAGCTAGAAGGCAGGGTGACAAAACGAGCTATCACACTTTCAACGCAATGATATCTACATTCCGAGATCCTATGGGCACAGAATTTGCTAGAGGTCATCACTGAAATAGAATCGGACGCCCTGAGTATTCAGGGACCAGACAGCAGTGTTAGCATTGTGTACTGCCGGACCCTGGAACTTCCTGTGGAAAATACGCAACATTATATCAAACGTGCATCAGGTATTCTGTAAACAGAAGTATGTAAATTTAATACAAATGAAAGCATAATGTTGGGCGCATTGTGGGAGGGGGGTCAATAAATTCTTGTTTTCTACCAGACAGATTTGGTTCTTTTGTTGATGTAGGTAAGTACAAAAAGTCTGTCCAGTTAGCATTGCATATCATTCAGTGCATTACCCCATTTGAGACTAAGAACAAAACCTAGGCCAGAAACCAAAACGCGCCAGTGCCCCCCAGACCCAGAGCTAGTTAACTTTCAGGGAACAATCTGGTGCTCTTACACATTAGATGACTATCTCGCAGTCAGGCGGGGGTGGGGGGGGGGGGGTCGCGGCCC